AATTTTTTCAAAGTGTCTTGATTTACATATTTTTTTCAAAATATATATACATACAAAAAAAAATTGCAAAAGAAGAGTGCGAAAAATGGGCACCAAAAAGAAAAAAAAAACTCTTTAATTCAAGGTGATTCTATCTTATTAAGCCTAAGCTGACCGAGTAATTAAGCCCAAGGAGTATTTCCATACTTAATGACCTAAGCCCATTTGGGTTGGGATCCATTGGCCCAAAACTCGTTAAATGGTCACTTAGAAAGCCCGTTAAAGTAGAAAAAATCACCAAGAAATAAAGAGTTAAAAAAAACTAATAAATGTTTTATAGTTGTATATATGGTCTTGGAAAATATTTTAAATCAAGCAACTTGAAAATTATTTAAAACAAAGAGTTAGCATGTTCTTTTCAAAACTTTTAAATTAAATTTCTAAGTTTGGCTTGGTTTTGTATTGCTACAATGAGAAGATTTTCTTAAAAATATACCTTAGAGTTATATATAAAAATGTTTTCTTGAGTGATAACTGGCTCCAATTAGATTATCTAAAAGTTATCAAGTGAATTTAGTTATTTACTGACTTCTTTAATTTGGCAAGTTGACCGAATTTTGTGGGTATATTCACTGCAAACCCTCACGAGACTACAACTCGTCCACTAGGGTAACCTAGGGGTTTAAAGGCTTGTTGTATGCGCTAAATACAACCGCGATTCCTGCGAAAGTGAGTTAGGATTTTCTTTTTATTTTCTTTGCTAGAGGACTAGCAAAAGTTTAGGTGTGGGGGTATTTGATAATCACATTTTATTACAATTTTATATCCTCATTATCTATTTTACATGAATAAATATACCATTAATAATTGTTGTTAGATTAGTTTGCACATAAATGAATGGAAATATAAATAAATATTATTAAATGTAAAAACCCCTTAAAAATCTCTCTTCTCTATTTTGTAGCATTTTAGAAGCCCATGAAGCAAAAGCTTAAAAGAGGAAAAGATTTTGAAAGCCCAAAGCTCATCAAAAATTTGATTACAACCTTGCATTGGGTCGAATTTAGCTTGAAGGATGAACTCAAAGAAGACCGGACTTGGTTTGAAATTTTGGTTGCTGCAGCTGGATATCAAATTGGGCCGAAATTTTGGTTGCTTGCAATTTGTTGCTGCAGCTCTTCAAATTGGACCGGACATGTCATTTTCCTCAAATAAATGATAGGCTGCGGATAAGGAATCGGACTTGGACTTGAATTGATTTTTTAAAATCACAGCAAAGAGTTGGGCCGAAATTGTGATTGGACTTGGCTTGGACATTCATTTGAGTTGGGCCGAAACGGTGACTTGGACTTCCATTTTTTGTTTGAAAATTAATACAAAAGTGGGCCGGATTTGTTTAAAAAAAAATCAAATGAAAACTTCATGAAGAGAACCGGACTTGGATGGCTTTGCTACAGAGAATTAATGTAAAATCACACACATGATAGACCGGACTTGGGCTTGGAATTTGCAAGAAAATTCTTTTGAAAATCAAATGAACATGGGCTCAAGAATTGGATTTTGATTTTCTTTTGAAAATCAAATAAATCAAAGGTGGAGATTGTTGCTTGGGGCTCAAGACAAATCCAATGGCTCATATTCATTGAAGATTACTATAAATAGGGGTAGAGAGTGAGGGGTTAGAGGTGTGAAAATTTTGTAAACTCCTTTTGGAGAGGAGGGCTACTCTTAATTGAGAAGGCCTTCCAAAAATTGTAACTTTAGTTGCAATTAATAAAAATAATTTTTTCCTCTTTAAATTTGTTCTTTCTCCTCTTGTTGAATGATGAGGATGGAGATGAAGAGCAATTTGAAGGTTTGCATTTCTTTTCTCTTTTATTTCTTTTTAGTAATTTCTTTATTATTGCTTATTAGTTAGATTTAAATTCATGCTTGTAGTGTAGATTTATTTTCTTGTCTTTTTTATTTCTTTTTGCACTTTAATTTGTAGAGTAGATTTATTTTTCTTGCATTTAATTTCTGCAATTTATTTTGTAGTTTAGATTTTTATTTTCTTTGTAATTAGATTTATTTCTTGTTCATAGTTTAGATTTTTCTTTTCTTTTTATTTTTGTAATTAGTTCTTTTTCTTGTTTTTATTTCTTAAAGATGTGAATTTAATTCTTGTAGGAAGTTTAGAATTATATGAAACTAGTCTAATTTCCTTTATATTGTATGAATTATTCTCTTGTACTTAAAATGTTCATGTTTAGGATAATCAACTAGAGAACTAATCGGTAGAAGAAGAATTTGATAATCTATGCTTTCCTTAAATGGTTTGATAGGTTATGCTTATGAATTCTAGGATTATTATCATGTTGTTGTTCTTATCATGAATAGTGATTTTAACTTAGATGATAATTTGATAGGTTACACTTTCCTTAAATGGTTTGATAATCTATGCTTAATAAATCTAAGTTGAAATATGATAAAAAGAGAATAGTTTATATTTTGTAATTGAAATTGGTTAGTGGATTATATTCTAGATTTCTTACCTCTTTTGAATCCTCCATCTTGACTTTCTTAAATTTTCTTTTCATTCTTAGTTTTATTTCTTGATTTTATTAATTCATATTTCTTGCCTTATGATTTCATTTATTCTTTAATTCTTCCTTCTCTCCTCTAAAATTCAATTCATTATCTTTTGCATATATTCACAAAAATCACTCATCAAAATCACACTTATTCTTTATTCCTAATTGTCACGCACAAAATATAAGAGCCAAGTTTAATAATCTCTTAAAATCACCTTCCTCGTGAGATCGATATCTTTTTATACTATAACTTGATAAATTGTGCACTTGCAATTTTTGGTACATAATTATATCGCATCAATATCCCTACCTATGTACATGCATTCTTGAATTAATATTTGTGTAGATGTGATGATGATAATAGTAGCGGAGAAATGAAGGCTACGACATATGTTGGAGATAAGAAGAGCCCCGCTCCTCCGGCTCCTCAATCATCTAAAGTCGTAAACGACGTCAATTATCTATGCTTTGAGAACTAAAGTATATCAAAAGTTTCAGATTGTCTACTGCTTTGAGATTTGAAATATATCGGAAGTTTCAGATACGGCTGCACCCACCAGTGTGCTCTACGTGTATTTATGTAGAGACTATGAGCGTTGGTGAAACATCTATAACCATTGATCT